TCTCTCTCTCTCTCTCTCTCTCTCTCTCTCTCTCTCTCTCTCTCTCTATATATATATATATATATATATATATATATATATATATATATATATATATATATATATGCATATATATGGGCGGGCGGCACAGTGGTGTGGTGGTTAGCACTGTCGCCTCCCAGCAAGAGGGTTCTGGGTTCGAATCCCGGGAGAACCAGGACCTTTCTGGGTGGAGTTTGCATGTTCTCCCTGTGTCTGCGTGGGTTCTCTCCGGGTTCTCTGGCTTCCTCCCACAGTCCAAAAACCTGCATGTTAGGTTGATTGGAGATTGGGGAAATTGCCCTTAGGGGTGAATGTGAGTGTGAGTGGTTTTTGGTCCTTGTATGTCCTGTATGTGGCCCTGCGATGGACTGGCGGACTGTCCAGGGTGTACCCTGCCTCTCGCCCGTTGACCACTGAGATAGGCTCCAGTTCCCCCTGTGACCCCATCAGGGAATAAGCGGTATTGATAATGGATGTATGAAAAAAAAAAGATGGATGTATATGCCATTTTTTTATTATTTCTCAACAACTAAGGTTTATCAACAAAATATTTAGGTAAAGACAAATCTACCAGCAATGAAGATACACTCTGAGCTACTTCTCCCACAGGGCCATTGGAAATAAGCTAAAAATGTAATCAATCTTCAGGCTCTTAAGAAAACAGTGAAACTCTTTTTTGCTGAAATACTGAAAAAGGCTGAGGGGAACTCAAAGGCTACAATAAAGAACTTATTTCAAGAAGACATAAAACTCCACGAGAAAACTGTGAGGTGAATCATCACTAGGGAGCAAAAAGACCCAGTGGCCACAAACCAAAACGCTTCAAACAGAGGGAGAAGATGACGAGTCATGGCAGGAAGCTGAGAAGAATGGATTTCAGCGTCAATGATCAGTTCCCCAGATAAATCATGGAAAAATTCAGGTCCTGTTTCCAATTTGAAGGAGGTTTATTGAAAGAGGCTCCCGAGCTGTCATTGCAGTGGACAAACAATTCTTTAACAGACAGCTGTAATGCAACTATAAACCTGTATGAATAACTCAATTTTCTCTGATCCACACACAAGCACATTATCATATAACTGAAGAGGTTATATAGCCTACAATGTTGAACATGAATACAAGGCAAAATCATCTCTTTTTCATAAAAAAAAAATATTGCTGATTCAGGGATATATAATTACAACTTAGTGTTAAGCAATAATGGGATGCCTATGGTGCCACCAAAGTGAAACAATCTTTAACACAAAAAGAATAAACTGGATAGACAAGAAAACACAACTTTGAACATGGCAACATATCTGGGAATAAGTAAAGAGAAAGAAAATCTCTTTACATCTATCAATGATTTATAAGGTCCATGAAATCAATTTTATTGATTTTACAAACAGTTATCAGACAATGATCCACCAGACATTAACATTAATGAAAATCTTAGTAATAGCCAGTCTTCCAAAATTACGGCTGAACAGGTCCTCCCTTTGGATTCCCCTCTTTCAGTAGGTAAATTCTGGCTGCAAATATACCTTTAGAATACTAAAAACACAACTTACAAAAGACAAAATTCTTTACAGAATTTATAAGATAGGAATGAAATAATGTTTTAGATGGGTTTTACACACACCAGCATTCACTCACATGGAGTAGACCTTCACTTACCAAACATTCACCCCATACACACAACTGATTGCTGTGCATTTGCTACTAAGCGGTGACCATGTGTGGGGAACATAGCATTGACCCTGGCATTGCCTGACACTGAGTGCCCTTGGTTGTGGGTTAGTCATGTGGTCGAGTTTCAAAAAGAGCAGGTCCAAACCGTACTCTGAAGTTATTTACATAAGCCCAACCATTCCAACTAATTATACAAGAATAGTGAAACTAATGCATAGCTGGTGAATTTGACAACGAAATGTTGTTGCCTGGCTTCCACGTCTGTATGCTGGTTTGGTATTAAATACTGTGGATGTTTTAAAAATATATATATATAAATGTAACTATAAATATAAAGAGCTGAGAAAAAAGGGATTTTAGTGCAATAAGTAATATCTGAAAATAAACAATACAGGTAATAACAAAGACACTACTATTCACTATGTTATGGTCACAATGAAAGTTAGAAAAGGTGGGAAGACCAAAGACCGAATGAATAAAACCTATGCTCTCAGATACAGAACATAATAAACAGTGTATTTCAACATTAATTCAGGCTTGTTAGTTAAAGACCATGGTCTGATGACTTCATCCTAGACTAAATTCAATTTATCCAGCTGCAATTAAAAATACTGTTTTTAACAATTTAAAAGAACACATCAGTAATATCAGTCCCATGTTAAATAGACATAGTAGGAAGTAGCAGTATGAGGAAATGATGTAAAAGTATCATGTAAAAGCACTGTTTGTCAGAAGGGAAGTGGCTTTGAGGGTAGCTGCACATTGGCAGACAGGAAATAGGCCGCACACCAAGTTTCATCTTACTAAGGAGGCGATGGCTCATGAGGGTTGAGACTAACCGATGTCTAATGATACTACATCAGACAGACCCGAAGCTGATGAGTTTGACATTAAATACTGAAGTAATTTACCCCCTCCACTACGTATTAAATTAATATATTTCCTGTTTACAGTATCAAAGTTTGCATCTTGTTTAAATTAAATAAAAGTCGGCCCATACACAGGTTAGCAGGCAGAAAATACAATAAAAACAACAACAAAGTCAATTGTAAAGAGGTAGAGATTTCATGAAGGTTATCTTACCTTGAATGCTGTGGAGGTAAATCTTAAGGCCTGAGCGCAGCTGTGGATCGTCCACTCTTTCAAGTTGCTTGGAGAGTCTGTTGATTGTGCTCTGGAGAGATTCATGCCTCTTGATCTCAGCTTTTATTGCAGTGGAAGTCACCGATTTACTGTTGCTGGTCATCCTCAAGTGATGATGATTCGATTGTAAACTGAAGCAAAGAGTTGCTTCAGGCCATTTAAACTCCTGGCTCGTTTGTTCTGCAAGA